AATCACTTCTAATATATGAAACAAATACTAGAGGAATCACTTCTAATATATGAAACAAATAATACAGGAATCACTTCTAATATATGAAACAAATACTACAGGAATATATGAGAAAAAGTTCAACAAATGCACACGGAGCACACTGCTTCGACTTAAGTATTAATTATTAATGAGCCATCTTCCTCCGAGGTATGTAATAAAATTGTAAAGTTACTATTTCCTTACACAAAGAAAATATCTATAAATCTCATTAGGTTTATAGAACTTGGAAGGTTTTATAGAGATAGCTAGAACACACATATATTTACTTTTCAGTGGAGGTTTTTTTCTTTCAACAAATTAACCACGGAATGTTTCAACCATTGTGGCAAACACAATATATTTTTAACTGAAATTTATGACAGTTTCGCTACTTTTCATGCAACCTTCAACAAATATATTAAGAAAAAAATGTTATAAGTTAACATTTGGTTGTTATTAAGCATAAAGCTACACAACGAGCTATCAGTGCTGTGCGCACCAGGGATATCGAAACTCGATTTTTATCGTTATAAGCCCAATGACTTGCGGCTGAGTCACCAAAGGGCTAAACACCATTTTGAACCTTCCTAATTAATTCAAAACTCTAGTAGAATTCTATCAAACAAATTAAAACATTTTTTTGTTCACAGCAACTATAACAGGATATTTGAAAATAATTTAATAAGACATTCACTTTTACCTTCCTAAACGACATCAATACAGGATTACTTAAACCTTTTATAAGTATGTAACGATTTTTTTTTTTACTTTCAAGATTTACTTACGTTTTAAGATTGTCTGGTCACAATCTTGTCTCAGGCTTTGTATTTGAAATTATGTATTACAAAGGCAGACATTCATATCTTCTAAGTATTTATATTAACTTGGTTTCTTTGGAGATCGAGACTCTACATTTGTCAAAGATCGAACAACAATGTAGGGATCAGCCTACTGCTTATGTTGTTAGTGCCCCCAGTTCGTTCATGTTTGTTTCTTCTTATATTTAACAAAAAGTTTACGTTTATCTATACTACAGTAACAAATCGTTAAAATGAAATCATTTCATAAGATTTTTTTATTATTATTACTAGATGTTCAATCATGACTATTTTTGAAAAAAAGAACTTTCAAGTGTAAAGTACTCACGTGGAATAAATCTCTGATTCTCCTAAGGTACTCTGAAGATCTACAGAAATAATTTAACTATCAGGTTTATCAGTATAATAACCATATCTGAACCGGCAAGATGGAGTTCCAAATTCAAAAACAATTTACTGAAGATCCTAGCTACCAAATAAACGAACCAACTTAAAATTTATACATCTCCAATAAACTATCAAGTGAACAATTAGATATCTTATGGGTTGATGTGTTGAGTTTGAATTAATTATTTTGTAATTTTATGTAATTAAATATTTCGAAATATAAAATGTTAAACTGCAGCTGGAGATGTGTTTGAGAATATATGAACATTTATAGTTTCTGTGTAACTAAATTATCTATATATAATGCGTAACAATGGGCAAA